ATAAGGTTTTTGTTAAAGCATTTCATATTTATTATTTTTAGAGAAACAGCAATATTCTTACCTCAGAACGATTTTGTTCAATGAAATGAAGAAGGGTAATATTTGCGGATTTTCTGACTTTGTTGTATAAATATATTGAGCTGCAATTAATTACCCAATGATCTTCTAAAGGCAAGATCATCGCTCCTATCTGTAATCAACAGTTATATTCTCAGATATGCGTTTTTGTTAGGCTATTGTCCCATATATAATAAATGATGAGCAGGGAGAAAAACGTTATAACAATCAATAGAACACATGTATAAGAATGTGTGTAGTTCACTTAGCAAAAACGGAGTTATAATCATTAGCCTGTATATAGACAACAAAGTAGAAAATTTTTTTCTTTCATGCAGTTAGCGGGCGCTGATGATTTTAGCGCGTTTAATTCTGTTCGCAATAAATACTTGAGTTGGTATGGAAAACACTGTTTATTAGTCATGCCAAGTTGCTTTTATGTTTAACTTTTTCGTTGTTAAATCTGATGATTCAAAATGTGTTCAGTCTTTTTTCGAATATTCGTCATGTGTTAAATGTATGTCAGAGTGTTTTGAAACATTTTCTAAGGTACCATATGTTATCATCGGATTTATGTGTATACAACAGTGTCATGATACTCACAATCGAACTAACTAATATCGCTAACTAATGACTTTGTTATTATTTTTGAAAATATCAAACAAACCAAAAAAAAGTTTTTTCCGTTTCCGAGTCAGTAAAATATATACATTGTGATAATTTGACTCAGAAAACTATTGCACAATCATCATGAGTTGTGTGAGTAATCGATTGTTAGATATGATATCGATTTTATATAACATGCTACAATCGAATTTGCTGTTTTTTAACTTTAGAAAATTTTGTTATTACTATGGTATCTTCTATTCTTCTGTCTTCAAATTGCCTTGAGCTGAAAAGTGTAGCGCCGTTATTGAAATTTTCTAGAAAACTACATGAATTAATCAACGCAGTTTGAATCAGAAACAATAAAAATGTTATATGTAAAGAAAAACATTGTGTATTCCTGCTGCTTCTGCATCTGTAGAAGTATTTTCTCAGAATGGCTTTTTATTTAGACAAAAGTCTTTAAGTGTTGACTATGTTGAAATGAAAAAGGGATTTTATGTAAGAATGTTTTTTTTCCAGCTTTTATCGTGATGTGATATAACTATGTTAGTTTATTTTATTTTTCCTTGTTTAAGTGCTTATGGTACGTGTGTACCATTTCCTATGATTTGTTTAAACTATGTTAGGCTAGTTATAGTATTATCTTTTTTATGATTATCTTTTGAAATACGAAAACAAACATCTCCACAAAAAACAGAAGCTTACAGTCAAACCAGACAAGTTAGTAAGAAAAATTTCAAGCCAGTGACGTGAAAAACCCGTGACTTGCCCAGCCCAGGCCACGTGACGGAAAAAATAGTACTGTTTTCATAGATAACCCAATAGAGTGAAGCCTTCTCTATAAAATGCTGAATAGCCGAACTTTCTAGCTCTTTCTCTTCTCGATTTATTCATAATACATCCGAGGACCTTCTGCTATTTTGAATTGGATAGTAGTTTTGCGGTTTATTGAAAGTATCAGAATGATATCAGTGATTTGTGTGTTGAAAAGCTAAACTTTAGTGTGCCGATGTATTCTTTTTTTTGAAATTTTAATACTCTTGACGCTCTTATTCGCGAGAAGGTAACGAGTAAAATGTATTTTGAGGCTAAGCTTCGCTGTTATAGAACTAACAGCCACTACTTACATTGCATCTTTTCAATGCTTCCGTTGAAAGAGCAGTGTTTTGTGACTTGGAATGCAACGTTAGTTTCGTTATCTTCCCTAATTTCTAAGAGCGGACAATATTGCTCAGAGCAGGGTTTTTGTTTAGTTACATAGTATAATACAGACCTTTCTCTAAAACTCAAGCTTATTGTTTGCATGTGCCAGTACTTTGCCTACGACATGAAATACCGAGAGAAATCACAGCAGGCGTTTTCAAATAATCGACAAAAACTGTTTTATCGTTGAAAAATGTTGGTTCTTGGAGCACTAACTTGAATTTCATAATACGGCTGCGAGAAAACTTTTCTTCTCTAAAGAAGAGTGAAGGTCTCAGTTTTGTTATAACTTGAGATTTAAAGACGCCTCGAACATTGCATCAAATCCGACGTTTGTTCTCGATTTTGAACGTATTTGTTCGCTTTAACATTGTATTGTACAAAGTAACAAAATATTATTCAGAAATTTATTTCCTTTAGCTATTCCATTCCTGAAGTTTTACAATTTGCTACAAAAAAACGCTATCAAACTAGTTAAAATATTTGTTAATTGTTTATTGGGCCGTTTCGGATAAAAGTGAGTCTAACAAATAACTAACCATTTGTCCTTTTGTTTTTGCTTCTTCAACGGAAAATAATACTATTCGTGCACGTTGAATTGGATTAAGAATTTTATCAAATTCATCTAATGCTTTTTCTCTACCTTGATCATGTTGTCTTAAACCTTCACGTAATTTTTGTAAATTTCCTTCAGTCGCTGTATCATCACCACCATCAACAGCTGTTTTCAATTCGCCTATTACTTTTCTACCACCTTCTTTACGTTGTTTCAATTTATCAGAGCACTCAACAAACCATTGTTTCAACTGAAAAACACGATTTCTATAAAAATAGTAAGAAGATATTGATGTCACACGCTTACTTTTGTTTCTTGGTCAGCTGTTAAATCTAAATTACCACTTTTTTCTTTCCATTGTTTGAGTAATGCATCGATTTTAGCTTGTGCCATCTAAATGTGAGACGATTTACTAGACTAAGGATCTAAGAAGCTTTAAATGACGAACCCTAGAATGCATAGGGGTTTTGAGGATTCAAAGTCCAATTCAGAGCTAGTTAAAGCATCCTGTTATTAAGGAAGGATTGTAGATGCTCACCTTCTAGTTTTATTTTAAGTGGAATTTAGATACGTAAGAAAACGAAGCTGCTGATGCAATGAAGACAAGTGGTTAACATTTGGTCTTCATGATCCTTTTATACAAAAACGATCACTGCTCTTTCTATCCCTTCTCTCTATCTCTCTAGCGACGCTATCAATTATTAATTTAACAAAAACCTTAC